CAATAAATATATAAACATAAAAAATTCATATAAATATATATAATTACACTTTTAAATTGATTCAAGAATATAATAAAAATATATTTAAAAAAGGATAAATAATGTTTTTAAAGACTCAATATTATAAATAAAAACAACTAGGTTTATTTGAAAAACAAATCATTATTAATAAAACAATTAGGTTTCTTAATGCATAATCATTAAACTTAGTATTTGTGATGTCTTTTTTTTTTATCATGTTGTTAATCATATTTTAAGAGATTATTATTTTCTATTAAGTCTTGACAGGAAGATATGAGATAAATGTTTATACATTTATATGTACAAAGATGTGAGTTTTATAAGTGTACATTGTTTTTATATCAGAAATAATTATTACAATTAACAAAAATTTTCTTCTTACATTGGTTGTTAATCATTCTCTCGGTGATATTTACTCATTTCAATCCCCAGGGTCCAACCTCGATCTACAATATCATCAAATCTTCATAAATAGATATTATTATTTAAAAATAATTAAATAATATAAATATAAATTGATAAATAAGATCAATGTATAACTGAAGATAGAATAAAATAAACAAACATGACCAGTATGTAACTAGAGATAAATAAATAAATAAGACCAGTGTAGGACTGAAGATAAATAAATAAACATAAGGAAGAACCAGTATGTAACGAGAAATAATTAAAATAGGACCAGTGTATAAGTGGAGATAAATAGTAAAACAGATCAATAAGTAGTTGAACATAAATAAATAAGTAACAAAATAAATAGAATGAGGTTAGCAACCTCACTCCACAACTATAATTAAAATAAAATAGATAAAATGATAATAGTCTCCTCTCCTACACGTTATGAACGAGAGATGATGTACCAAATGATAATAGTCTCCCTTTCTCTCTCTTTCTCTCTCCTTCTTCCTTATCTTCTTACAAATCCTTCCCCTTGTCACTTTTATAGGGATGAAAATTAAACTTGTACCTGTAGGGACGACCCATCCCCACCCCGAGTTTGGCGAGGAAAACCCGAGTTGACGGGGGACGAGGACGGGTTCAAGTTTTCTCCGCTTTAAAAAGTCTGGGGAGGGGCGGGGATGAGTAATGTAATTTAAATTTTTTTATTTAAATTTAATCCCCACCCGACTTTATATTTAAATTTAAATTTTAAAATATTAATATTTAAAAAGTATTTACTTTTCTTTTTCTATTATATATAAGGTCATTTTTTTATATTTCACCAATTTTTATTTTTCTTCTACCCACTTTTTAATTTATTTTTCTTTTTTAATATTTTATATCAATTAATTTAGTACATTATTCTCTCTTACCTTTCAGTTTTTTCACATTTCCTTAATCTCTCCCATCAATTTATTTATTTTTCAATCTTGTCAACCAATTTGATGAACACAAAGTTATTTTTTTTTATTATTTATCTTTTTATAAATATTTTACATAAATCTTAGTAGTAACTAATATTATTTTATTTATAATTTATATTTATTAGGTTTTATTATGTCATATTTTTTATCTTATTATTCTTATTTATCATATATCAAATTTTATCTTAATAAAATAATTATATTTTAAAGAATTAAAGGAATTGATAATTTAAACTTTTATTACTTCGAACATTAAATAAGAATTAACTTATTAAATATTTTTTTATAAACTATATATTTCATATTTTTAAATGACAACTTAAGAATAAATTAACTTTTATATATATATATATATATATATATATATAATCAAATCTTTGAATATAGTATTATAATAATAATGTTATAAATATTCAAATATTTGAATACAGTGTTATAATAATAATAATATTATAAATAAAAAATAATTAAATATTTATTTTACATACATATTTTAATATAAATATAATAAATTAAAATGTACATTTAATTAATAATAATTATAAATTATATTTATAAATATTTATTTATATATAAAAAATAAATAGTAAAATTAATTTATTATAAATGTAATTATTTTTTAAAAAATAATATAGATCGGAGACGGGGTGAGAGCAGGGAACCCAAAACCAACGCAACAAGGATGGAGACTTAATTTTTGATCCCTACTAATGAGAGCGGAGAACCCGAAACCAACGGGAACAAGAATGAAGACTTAATTTCTAATCCCAGTAGGGATCGGGAGACATAACCCGCCCTACCCCGTCCCATTGTCATGCCTATTTTATAGCAATTTTTTTCTTTTTTATTTATTTAATTAAGTTATTAAATACATTAATTATGACTTTGAATAAGACTTATATTTTAAGATAAGTTAATCTTATCTTTTATATATATACACTACTAGAAAACTAGTTTTTTTGTGCCAATTTTCTTGCAAAAAATTGTTTAAATTTATAAAAAACTTATTTCTTGCCATTTTTACCAAAATTTTGCAAAAATATTCCCATAAAAAATGAGAATTTTTAGTAGTGATATATATATATATATATATATATATATATATATATATATATATATTTATAAGAAAATTAATAATTAATATTTTTCTTCTTTTTTATTTTTATAAATTAAATAATATATATATATTATATAATAATTTAATAATAATAATAATTTTCTTTTAATATACTTGTTTTATTATAAATATATTTAAATTATTCAAATAATATAATTTAATATATTATATTATTTTTAAGGTGTTATAGTATTAACATGAAAACTTTATGTCAAAAAGAAATTTACTTAAAATTGATCACTTTCATGAACTTACAAGACTTTTTTAAATAACTTGAAGACCAATATTCTTTAATTAAATAAACTTGAAAAGGTTTTGATATTTTAGTTGTTTCTTCGGAAATAAATAATTATTTGTCAAAGTATTATTATGAAAAATTGTGTGTTTACTCTTACGTTTACATTCACCTTGATGTTAGATCAAACTTTTGTTAATTAAAAAAAATGTTATTTTTTTAATTAATTTCATCAATGCTTTCACTTATTTATTTGGAAGTAAGTTAATAAGTGTTTATCTCCACCCTTAATTGTATTATATTTGGATAATTTCATGGTTGTATTATATATTCTAAAGTAAGATTTCATGGTTTCAAAGAAATCAAATAAAATCAAATCACATATAAGTTATGTGTACATGTGGAGATTTGGTTTTGGATGTGGTTTCGTTTTGTCTTTTTGGTTTGGGTGTGGTTTTCATCTCTGAATATTTACATATCATTACCAAAAATATTTTTTTATCAACCACACCATTTTTTTCTATATTATAAATTTGTTTTGGTTCTTTAATTTATTTTAATAAAAATAGATCTAAAAATATATATAATTATAGAAGTTAAACCTTTCAATTAAATTTACATATTTAAAATTATCTATCAATTATCCCACATAAAATATTATAAGAAAATAAAATACTGTTTTTCACGATAAATTTTGATAAAAAAATCATGATAAAATTAAATAAATTTATGTTTATGTAGATAAGCTTATTTTAATAAAAGTCATATGTAATAAAAATAGAAATATTTCTACTTAAAAAAATTATTTTTATATTTAAGATTATGATTAACTTGTTTATTATATAATTTTTTTCTTAAAAATAATAAAAAATATACATTTTTATCAATGTTACATCCTAAAATCATTTGACAGATAGTAACATCCTATCCAAATAATCCTATATTAAAAAGTATAGTTATTTTTAATATTTAACTTAAATGTTTTTTTTTCACATACTTAACATATATATAAAAAACATTATGAAAAATAATGGTATTCAATATTTTTAATTGAACAGGTATCTTGAATTGGATTTTAATTAAACCTGACAATTGATAAAAATTGGTAAATTTTATTGATCCAATCATTTTTAGTAAAAACAAATATAAAAATAAATTTTTATACAAATAATTGAATAAATAAAATTAATTATTTAAATGTTTTACTGATATATAGAAAATATACTTTTTTATTTTCCTTTTAATTATTTTTTTTTATTTTGTATTTATTATTTTTCTCTTTTTACTGTTTTATCTATATGGTGGGTAGGTTTATAAGGGAAAAAAACTTTTTAATTTTATTTTTTCCATTAAAAAATATTAGGATATTTTTATTATTACATTATTTTATTTATATTCTCTTGATTTTTATTTTTAAATATATAATTATGATAGGTAAAAGTTATAAGAGAGGGAAAAGGAGTAAATAGATTAATAAAATAATAATAATCTAGAAAGAAAGTTTAAAATAAAAAATAATTAATACTTTTATGATATGTCTAAGGTATATGTTGTTTTATTTTCATGACTATTAATTTTATATTCTATTATATTTTATATCTATAAATTTTATTATAATTTATATAATTATAATATAATTTATATTATTATTGTAGTTGTTTTTTATTTTAAAAATTGTTTTATTAAAAAAGTATTATATATTTAATAATTAAATCAAATTATTTTATTAAATTTAATTTACATTTAATAAATTTTTATTAAACTTTTAAATCTTTAATTTTTTTATTAAATACTATGAAATACGGATGATTTTAAATTGAATTATTCAAACTAAAATAAATATTATTTTTATTATTTTAATAAATTTATTAATATTTCATTATTTTAATATAATGAAAAGAAATAAAAAATATAATTTATAAAGTGATAATTATTACCATCTTAAATTTTATCAATTAGGTAGAAATAAATTAATAAAAATGACGGTTATTTAAAAGAATAAGAAAAAATAATTAATGTTAATAAATTATTGATTATGAATAATTAAACTGAACGTCTGAGAAATTAAATAAAATTAAAAGAGAGAGAATAAAATATTGTGTGTATATATATGTTATAAGTACTTTAGAGGTGGTAGTACAGAAGACAAAAGAAAAGAGTGAGGAAAAAGGATGAAGGGAACGAAATAGCACCAAGCTTATCCCAGTGCCAGTGCCAGACTCCATCTCTTTCATCTCTTTCAGTAGCTTCAACCACACAACCAACAATGGGGGAGGTCTTGATTAAGTTTCTCTCCCTTTCTTTCTCTATTTTCTCTTATATGTGTTTACAGAGAACTAATTTTCTGCTTTTTGTGTTTCAGGAGGAAAAGAAACCGGAGGAAACCAAGGTTGAGGAGAAAAAACCTGAGGAAGCAAAAAAGATACAAGAGGAGAAGAAGGAAGAATCGGCAGAAAAATCGGCCGGAGACAAAGACAAAAAGCCGGAAGAGGAGAAGGAAGAAGTGGTCCCACCACCGCCACCGCCCGAGATTGTGCTCAAAGTGTTCATGCATTGCGAGGGTTGTGCTCGCAAGGTTCGTCGCTCCCTCAAAGGATTCCCAGGTGGGTCTCACTGTTTCCTCACAACATCCTTTGATTCGTGGCATCATCATCTATTGTCTGAAGACAATCGTCTGTGTTGGTGTTTCTGAGTCTAGGTGTGGAAGACGTGGTCACCGATTGCAAATTTCACAAGGTGATTGTTAAGGGAGAGAAAGCTGATCCTCTCAAGGTTTTGGAGAGAATACAGAGAAAGAGTCACAGACAGGTCGAGCTTCTCTCTCCCATCCCGAAACCACCAGAGGAGAAGAAGAAGGTGCCGGAAGAAGAAAAGCCCGTTCTGTCCGAACAGAAGGAAGAAAAGGTTTGCATCTGCCCATTTTTTGTTTCTCTCTGATTTCCCCAACGATCTTTTATTCTTTATTTACCGTAACTATTTCCTTCTGCCGCAGCTTCCTCCAATTGTGACGAATCTGAAAGTTCACATGCACTGTGAAGCTTGCTCACTGGAAATCAAGAGGCGCATACTGAGAATGAAGGGTATATTATATCTGATTTAATTTTCCCTAAGCAACACCCCATCATGCAGCACGCGGTCTATTGTTTGTTGGGTCGATTCAGCAGAAAAAAATCATGTAGAATTGTGCTTTCACTGTTTGAATCTGAATCACCCATGTGAAAGAGATTACTTTTATTTTTATTATTCTTGTTTCATTAATTCCACTACCCCGGAACTTTAAATTGAATTAATTAAAATATTAAAGTAGTCAGATTTGGGCTGAAGTGATACAGCGGTGGTTAAATTCTGTGCCTTTATAATCTCATTTAATATTCAATGCAATCTGTTAATACCGAGTTCCATCATTTAATTTGAGAGTTCAAGTGCTTCAGTGGAGTATTTTATTACTGTTTTTTTCACTTTCTTTATTATTGTGCAGGAGTGGAATCAGCAGAAGCCGATCTGAAGAACTCACTGGTGAGTGTGAAGGGTGTGTATGATCCAGAGAAGCTGGTTGAGTATGTGTTCAAGAGAACTGGGAAGCACGCAGTGATAGTGAAGCAAGAGGCAGAAAAGAAAGAGAAGGTGGAGGAAGAAGCAAAAGAGGAGAAAAAGGAGGAGGGTGAGAAAGAGAAGAAGAGTGGTGAAGGAGAGGAAAAGAAGGAAAAGAAAGAGGAAGAAGCAAAGGGTGAGAGCAAAGCAGCAGAGGAAACGGCAGCATCTAGTGAAGACAGCAACAAGGTTGTTCCAGAGGTGAAGATCAATGAATACTTCTATAACCCACCAAGGTATGGCATGGAGGTGTATGCATATCCTGCACACCCTGTACACCCTGCACACCCTGCACACCCTGCGTATTACCATGCCTACCCTCCCCAGATGTTCAGCGATGAGAACCCAAATGCTTGCACTGTCATGTAAAATTGAAGGTGTCAAGGGTGATATTGGAAAATTGTGAGTATGGGATGGTGATGATATAGCTGATACCCTTTCCTGTGTTACTTATGCTGTGTTGTACTATTCCTGCTCAAAGTACAATCTATGCATAAACTATAGAATTTTCAATTTTATGTTTAAGTAGAATATGCTTATATTACTTAAAAATAAGCAGAAAAGAAAAACAGTGTTTTGGGTTACTGCAAATTCAAGCTTCAAAATAAGATGAAGACTTTTTTTTTTTTTAATCTTTTTATATTTATGGTTTGAAATAACTTTAATTCTTTTAAAAAGTTTATTTTCTTTAACAGTTAAACGTATGCGTTATATGATTAACTGTAAGATATGTTATTAATAATAATTGCAGGAGTTATTTCTACGAATTTTAAATTCTTATGAAAAATTATAAATTAGATATTTGAAATTTAAATTAAATTATATTTATTTACTCTTTAAAACAGGTATATAAGAGCATTCATAAAAAGAAAATGGTTAAGAGTGATTTAGAAATAAAAACAAGTATTTTATTATATGCCTTTAAATTGTTTAAAATTAGATAAAATTACTTAGAAAAAAATCCTTACATAAATAATTCTGATTAATTTTAAAATAATTTATTTGTGAAACTCATAATAAAATTTATTTTTATTCTAAACAATTTTTATTAAAAACTCCTATATCCTAATAATCTTAATAACTTATCAAGAAGTAAATATCATGTTAATTACAGGAGATGCATTCAAGAAGACAAGCATGAAATTATATTATTAAATTTAACTGTAGTATATAGTCTGATATGTTTTCATATTCAGAAACCATTTTTTAGAAAATTATATTTTCGAAAATGTCATAAATGTGTTGTGAATATTGGATATGTCTTACTGTTTTTAAGAATGAAAAATATAATTTATGTAGTTTTCTTGAGAAACATTTGGACTCTCAAATTTTACTTAAAAATAATTTTTAACAATATTGCATTTTTTTTAGAAATAATTTTTAAAACATTTATACTAGTGTAACTTAACCTTCTGTAAAATTTTAAAAGATATCTTACAAAATACCTCCTTAATGTTATGTCCCTGCTGTATTTGATTGCATATATACCATTTAATTAAATTTATTTGTACTTGTTAAATGAATATTGCATGCATAAAAGTTGAATTTATTTAGGTAAAATATGTTTTGTTGAATTTCCACATAATCATGGTTCTAAACTATTAAGTGGGGGAATGTGTATAGAAAAACAATTATAGGGAATCGTGATCCGTGTGGCCAGCCCATATTTCAATTTTTTTTTTTCAAATTTTGCTTTCCGTCATTATGGAAAAAAAAAATCTTATAATATTTTTAAATTTCTCCAAGTTATTTTTATCTTTATGATATGAGCAACACATTATTTTTATTATTTAGATTTCCATGATGTTCTTTCTATTTCTTAACAATCATATACATGGTAGGACAAAACGAGTTACTTAAGTTAAAAAGTTAAAGGTGTAAAACGATTATGTTTCCTTATTACTTTTAATATAATATGAATAATTATCATATCCAAAACAATTTGTTACTTTTAATTATATAAAATAAACAATTATCTTGCGCAATATACAAACTAAAATACTAGTTTTCCTTGTTTTAATGAGTTCATAATTTTTTTATTTTTTTTAAATAGTGATATAGATTAATTACTATCGAAGAAGAAGGAAAATAATAATGATGATACAATAATCATATATATATATATACTTCTCTGCCACATACCTTCCGTCTTAAAATTTGGCTAATCCAATTTGAAGAAAGGTCCCAAATTTCTAGAAAGACTAAACTAAACTCAGTGGATACATTGGTAAAATTTCACACACACTCTTATACTCTCATAGTTAACGCCAGGAACAAGAACATCATCATACACACATTGCATTGCAAACGGACAAAAGCTTCAGTCATGATGTCTTGCCTTCGATGCTCGTAGTATTATCTTTTTCGTTGTCCTTTCAAACCAAACCAATGGAATTTACAGGGATCCAGATTGCACTCTTTTTTAATATCACTTTCAAGCCGTACCCTTTCATTCCAAAAAAAGCACTTGATAGCAAAGGTGAGCCCTTTGCCAAGTCAGTTTGAAAGACACTCTCCATCACCCTGCCCCACTCACTCATCCTCAACCAAAATTGTAGGTGCTAAGGGAAATCTCCATACCCAAGTTAATGGATAAAGATGCTTTCATAATCCTACTTTGGGATTTCATTCATTATGAGCCAAGTCAATTCCAACCAATTTCAAAGTTATTAATTCTGAACTTCTCACATGGGCACAAATATTTTTAATATTCTACACTAAAATCACTCATTTAAGATTATTTTAAGATCTTCTATCAGTAATTTTGTATACATTTTTTTAGTAAAAAGATAAACTTTTTATCTTATAAAATTATTTTAATTTATCTATAACTTAATTTTAATTTATATAAAGAACTAGACTTAGCAAGAGACTATAATCCAACCAAGTAAAGGTTCAACGATTGAAACACAAACCAAGTAAAAGTTCAACCAATTCCTACATGAAACTAGTATATGAAAAACTGAAGATTAATTGATGAATCAATATCTAAACTTGTCTAGCCAATGTGATGAAAAAGGAAAGTTAAATTGCATATGGATTATAGTTTCAACAAAATGTGTCCCAAGATTTTTCTCCTGTAATAGAACTAAACAAATCAAGTTAAATAATAGTTAAATATATTTTTTTAATTTATCATTTTTTTTATATATAATCTTTTTGTGATCATTATATAATATTTTATTCTATAAGTTTGAATAATTGGTATCTACTTACCTAATAAAAAAGTCTCATGAATATGGGCAATCCAATTATAAATTGAAATCTTACATAAAAATAAGAAAATTAACCAATATATAAATGAAAGAAACCAATAAATTTAATTTATTGAAGTTTTGAGTTAAAAAAAAGTGATATCATATTTTTTTTATATTATTATCTTATGATCTCATTTATAATAATTTCTGGATGTCAAATATTGGAGTATGAATCATAAGAGTTTCTGTATATTGTATGAATCATTTTAAATTTACCATTTTGATTTTTGCTATATTTGTCTTACATGTGTGTAAGATTAACACTTTTTATTTTCCCTTTCTAATCTAATTTTTCATAATAATAGAGTTTCAATTTTGATCATAGTGTATGAATCAATTCTAAAATTGTTTATCTAAAATAGATATCAATATGAATTAAAAATAGAGAAATACATAATTTAATTTTATAAAATTAACTTATAAAATGAGGTTTGTATCTCATATGTATGCTATAATGTATCGTATCTCTAATTAATGTAGGATTTCAACACGCTCTCATATTGAGAGAAATTTTTTATCACACTTTCATATCTAGAGAGATATTTTCATCAAATTTTCTAATATTGAGAGATTTTCTTATTACAATCATCATATCAAGAGATCTTTTTATCGCACCCTCTGGAAGATTTTATTCATATTTCTCATATCGAAAGAGATTTTTTAGTAGTTTCAACATTGTTAAAATTGGTTCTGATATTATATTTTTGTCATCTCCTTCATTTTGATGTGTGTTTTGGACCATGTTTGCACTGCAACTCAACATCTACTTTTCTTGTTTACAATATATGATTCTAACATGTTCTTCTTACACTAATGTTGAATACATTTTGTTCAAACTAGGTAATAGGTCTTCAACAAATTTGATCTTATAGTCCCATGATGAATTGATGAGCTTTTTCTTTCCTACTCTTCTTTTGTAAAATTATTCTAATATTACATGTGCACAACCCGTATTTGCATGTCAGTATTTGTTAAAAAAATTTAAAGTAGGTAATAATCGTCAATCCTTTTTTGTTTTTATTTAACAAGTTCAGCCCTCCATTGTTGTATACACGATCCATTGACAATAAAAACTCATCCTATTATGTCTTCTAAAAGATCTTGTGTTACTTTATATGCGTCATGGTTGATGTTCATTATTCAAGACTCCTTAAAGATTTGTTTGTCAATTTTCTAGATCTAGTGATCTTTCATTTGGACATAGTATATCAGTTCACAAATCTATAATTTTTCCTTACTCTCAATGTAGCCATGAGAGTAGGAGTCCATTCATCATAATTTTCTTCCTTCATATAAACTTGTGTTAATCCACTTCTAGATACCTTAAGTCCAACTCAAATATAATAAAAAAAATATATGGTATGAAAATGTTTTCCTTTGATTAAAAAAATCAGTATATATATATATATATATATATATATATATATATATATATATATATATATATATATATATATATATATATATATATATATATATACGTGGATGCACATATGTGCATATTTTTTAAAATAATCATTGCTAAACATAATCATATTAAGAGATATCATAAAATTTTACAACATATTGAAATATTTCTAATGTGTTTTATTAGTTCTTGGATCGATAATAATGTAATGTGATTTTAATATTATATTAGAAATAAACAAATATCTAACTTAGTATAATAAAATTTAATTTATGGGACGAAGGATTTTTCAACCATAGAAGAATCAGAAAAAAGGTTAAATGATCGTTAAATTTTTTTTTATGGACAAGAGATTAATCAAAGTGTTTTTTATGCTTTAAGATGTGATTTGAATTTAGTTATCTATGTACGTTATTCAAAGTATTCCAAATTTGAAAAATATATGATAGCTTTTTTTATTTAATATAAATTTGATGACATGAATGTTAAAAGTGATCGAAAGATAATTTAATTTTATTTATTTTAGCACGCATGTAAATATAGGATCATATATTATTTTTATATTTATTTAACATTTTTCCTTTTCATTCTTGATAAAAAAATTCAATAATTCATGAAGTCAGATCATGTCATTTTGTTGCATTTTACATGTGAGAAATTTTTCATAATTGAATTTTATTGAAACTGGTACTATATTTAATTTA